GTATAGAGAATTATAATTTAGCAACCCAAACTATTTTATTGTATTAGAAGTGAACCAAGGGTACAGTTGTAATGTATTTTTAAAAACATAGTTTTAAAAACTTGGCATTACAGAGTTCCCTCGCCGCTTTGCAGTTTGCTAACCGCGCACTCGCTGTTTCACAGTTTTTCCAAAAAAAGTTAACTTAAAATACAAGTAGCAAGGGAACACTGTATATAACAGACTTGAGTTGCAGAGTTACTCACAGACTTCTTCCTTTGGGGCCAAAGAGGGCTGCCAAGGCAGCTTCCACCAGGGCTTCTTCCTCGGGCAATCAGGTGAGAGCCCAATGCCAGTGGGGAAGCAGGGAGGGAGGGAGAGGGGTGGTTCCAGCAATGGGAGGGAGAAGGGAGGGAGGAAGGGAGGGGTAAAGAGGGGAGAGAGAGGAGGGGGAGGGAGGAGTGGGAGGAGGTATACTGTAGATATACAGTATAGTGTCCCTACATCGCAGTTTTTCAGTTATTGCGGGGGTTCCTGGAATGGAACCCCAGCGATAGGTGAGGGAACACTGTATATTAAATGTTCTTTGACCAGTAGCTGGTCACTGGGAGTGTCTCAGGTGTCACTTTGAGAAGATCCTTCATTGTGTATGTGGCAGGGGCTCAGACTGCATTGTAATAGGTGGATGTGGTTTGCTCTTCTCCACACTCGCATGACATGGACTCCAGTTTGTAGCCCCATTTCTTAAGGTTAGTTCTGCATCTCGTGGTGCCAGAGCGCAGTTTGTTCAGCACCTTCCAGGTCACCCAGTCTTCTGTGTGCCCAGGAGGGAGTCTCTCATTTGGTATAAGCCATTGATTGAGGTTCTGGGTTTTAGCCTGCTACTTTTTGATTCTCACTTGCTGAGGTGTTCCTGCAAGTATCTCTGTAGATCTTAGGAAACTATTTCTTGATTTAAGGCATTGGTGTGCTGGCTGATATCCGAACAGAGGATGGGACAGAGATGTCACTGCCTTGGTCCTTTCATTATTGGCACTACTTCTCGGCGGATGTCAGGTAGTGCAATACTTCTTGGCGGATGTCAGGTGGTGCATTTTTGGCGCTACTTCTCAGCGGATGTCAGGTGGTGCAATACCAGCTAAACAGTATAATTTCTCCAGTGGCACAGACATCCTGTGATAATGTGGCTTGTCTCATTAAGAGCTACATCCACTGTTTTAGCGTTCCACACTGGGGATGTGTATTCAGCAGTAGAGTAGCAAAGTGCAAGGGCTGATGTCTTCACTGTATCTGGTTGTGATCCCCAAGTTGTGCCAGTTAGCTTTCATATATTTTTTCTAGTGCTCACTTTTTGCTTGATATTCAAGAAGTGCTTCTTGTAGGTCAGAGCATGGTCCAAGGTAACTCCAAGGTATTTGGTGTGCTGCAATGCTCCAGTGAGATTCCATCCCAGGTAATCCTTGGAGCTTGAGATGCTTGTCTGTTCTTAAGATGAAAAGCACTTGTCAGTGTTTTATATGGATTAGGAATCAGCTGGTTTTTCCTGTAATAGGCCGTAAGAGCACCTAAAGCTTTGGAGAGCTTCTGTTCAACCATTTCAAAGCTCCCTTGTTGAGCAGTGATGGCACGATCGTCAGCATAGATGAAACTCTCTGTTCCTTCTGGCAGTGGCTGGTAATTTGTGTAAATGTAAACATTGATGGAGCAAGCATGCTTCTCTGTGACAGGCCGTTCTTCTGTTTTCGCTATCTGCTTTTCTGGCCCTGGACTTCAACAAAAAGCTCCTGTTTTGTAGCCAATTCCCCATGAAGCAGATGAGGTGGTAGTCCTTTGTGATATTATAATTTTTTTTAGGAGAAGGCGATGATTTACAGTGTCATAAGCTGCTGACAGGTCTATGAAGATATCTCTTGTAATCTGCTGCCTTTCAAAGCCATCTTCTATGTTGCTGAATCAGGTTCAACACATATAATGTGCAGCTTTTGCCTTTCCTGAAACCAGTTTGCTGTGGAATCATACATGGGTCTATTTTTTCCATAATTCTATGCAAAATAAGTCTCTCTAGAATTTTGTAAAGATGGCACAACAAGGCGATTCGTCTTTAGCTTGTAAAAGCTAAAACCCAAACTATATGAAGGGTTTTTAAATAGACTCACATAGACTAATTCAGACTTCAAACCACAATTAACTGGTCCAAACACTTAACCACAAAGGAATAACCTATTTTTTCTAGCTTTGGAATGCAGACATTGAACTATAAGTTAAAATCTGAAGGACTCTAATACTTAGCAAGTGTTGTGATTTTCTGCTGCTGTTTTAACTCATTTCTCTTTAGCATGGTGTGCATGGTAGCTATCAGTGCAATAATCAGCACAAACACAAATGCAGCAGTATATTCTGCTTGTTGTGGTGGTCAGACCACTATATAGGATATAATTTATCTAGAGCTTAATTTTTCTACCAAAAACTTTCAATGTCAAAATACCAAGCTTTAAGAAGACTCTAATAAGAGATTATATGCTACAAAAAAATAAAAATAAACTATTAATAGACTTACAGTGAAGTAAAGAAGAAAATTGTCATCCATATGTGAAGTTAAGGGGGGAGAGCAACACTATAAAGATCTAAGAACAGAAAATCGTGACCATGGTGGAGAAGATTGGAGGGTTTTTTCTCTTTCTTTTTATCCTATTCTCCCCCCCCCCCCCCCCAAAAAAAAACCCCTAGTATCCCTGGTATGTTTTGTGTGTGTGTGTGTGTATTTTTTCTTTTTAATCACTTTTTATAGTATAATAAACTGCACACAGATGTTGGTTTTAAGTGTTTACCTTTAAATCTTACCTTTACTACCTTCAATTTTTCCTTTCCCGCTAGTTTTTCTTCATCTTACCCCTTTTATGATATTGTAAATAGCAATTTCTTTTAATTAATAGAAATTATTTTTAAAAATACCCAGTTTTATAAATTTATTACTTACAATGAATTTATGCCAATCCAATATTGACCATTTCAAAACTAACTGAAAATCCCTAGGAAGCAGGTATATTGTTTTTGAGGTGAAATAAAACAGCTGAACACCTAATATTCAAGCCCCTTTCAAAGCATCTACCCTTTCCCCTAACCAGGAGGAGGGAAAGCATGGTTTGGATTGGCCAGGTGGGTAGAGCTTTGCAACAGCATTGAGATGCATTCAAACATTTCCTCCCCTAGATGTCTGCTTTTTAGAGAGGATTCGGGCAAACAAGATTCTTCCTCACTTCTCTATCACGTATTAAACGTAAGACTGCTGGACTGACGGCTACATGAGAAAAACCAACAGGGAATTAGATGTGTAACTAGCCCCGCTTCCCCAAAGGTGGAAGAGAGATCAGCAGAAAGTTATAGCTAAGCTGTAATATAGACAAAACCCTGGGTTGTTTAGAAAGAGGTGATTCAAATGGATTTCCCCTCAATACGTGAAGCAACTGATCCCATAGATAGCGCCATAAAAAAATACCAGAACCAAGAAAGTTAAACACACTTGGAACAGATAAGTAGACAGCCAGTGTATCATGTCCCTTGTAAGCTGTCCCAAGTCCCCTTGGGGAGATGGTTGGCAAGGTATAAAAATAAAGTTATATTATTATTATTATTATTATTATTATTATTATTATTATCATCAACATCATCCCCTGAGCAATGACCTTGCAGGCAGCCAATTCTCTCACATCAGAAGCGACTTGCAGTTTCTCAAGTCGCTCCTGACAAACACAAAAATCCAAATATACATTTAAATTTGTTTGATATTTAAACAATGAATTCAAATTATAAAAAAGAGATCATCTGAACATTATAAAGAAGTCCTTTACTGTAAGAGCTGCTTGACAGTGCAATTAATGTACTGTCCCAGAGGATGGACTCGCTTTTCTTTGGAGGTCTTTAAACTGAGGTTGGATAGGCATCTTTCAGGAGTGCTTTAGTTGTCTATTTTTGCATAGCAAGAAGCTGGACTAGATGGCCCTATTCTATTAAGCCTGCTTTTTTCTTGTTTCTGTTCAAAGACCTCTCGAAAGTTAAACTATTTTCTTAGTAAATATAATTCAAACATGCTAAATTAGATCATGATCTTTCTAGGGGATTGAAAAACTGTCCAATTCAAAGTTTTGTGAATTATCCACATCCTTGGGTCAGTCAACTGTTTTTACATAAAGATTATGATGGACATTATGAATAGCATGCCTTCAATGCACTTGCATATATAATCAAAAGGTTTAATGCTAGCTGGTTTGATGATTAAGAGTCATATCTAGAATGTATTATAACATTACTTAAATAGCTGACTGAATTGTTTAAGCTCCCAGAGGGAATGGTAGCAATTCAAATTAAGCACAAGTTGCCAATTTTCATAACACAATTTTTGGACAAGAGCAAGGTTACAGGTTTTCAATTTTCCGCAAGAGTGGTTCCTTTGTCTATTATAACATGGGGAACTTGTGCTTTAGAGAAATTGTCCCTGCTGGGCAACCAATAACTAGCTGTAGCAGATAATTACAGTTCTCCTGGAAGCTGGTATTTGAGAATACTAGATTCTTTGAACAATATTATGATCCATGTGGACAAAGACAGTGGAACTAAACACAAAAATAAATGTTGCTATACTGTAGCCTGATGGATCAAGACAAGCTGTGGTAAAGCACTTTAGCTTCAGAAAGGCTGTTGCATAGCCAATGATGCTGGAAGTGGGGGACACTGCTTTATTCCCACTGCGTCTCCTTCCCCACATACAAGAACACAGCAGTTGTCAAGCACCTTGTTTTTTAAGGAAGCAAGAAAAGCAAGCAAACACAAAAAAACACAATTGCCACTGCAATTCTGGTCAAGAAAAGCATTTTCCTGTCTGTTCAGAGACCTTGAAATTGGTTTATATGTTTACTTATTGTATGATCATAATGATTTGATTCAACGCGGAATCAGATTTTCTTCAACATATACAATAAAATGAAGTTCAAATGAAGTCTGTATACAAGAAAGTTTTTACTCACCATCCCCAGGTGGAAGACCTCGTTCTTTTTTCTCATCACATTTGTTGCATTCACTGAAGTAAAGTAACAAAAACATATCCAAAAGGACCCAAACCAATGAGGTGGCAAGGACCACCTTGCAATATGCAAATTTTCTCATGGCACTTTGCCTCCAGGATACACTAATTTTTGTATTTGACTGAATGACATGGGTGTAATTCCATTTCAAAGATTATATTCTTTATCTATGGAAACAGAGAGAGAAAGAGAAAGGGGGAGTATATGATGAACAAAGAATTCAAAATATAAAATGTCAACTGAAATTCTTAAGTTTTTATACTAGTTGAGTATCTCTTATCCAAAATGCTTGAGTCCAGGAGTGTTTGGGATTCTGGATATAAGAAGATATCTTGGAGATGGAACCCAAATCTAGCACAAAATTCATTTTATTGCATATGCACTTTATATACACAATTTAAACATAATTTTATGCAACATTTTTAATAATTTGTGTATGAAACAAAGTTTGTATTCACTGAAATATCAGAAGGTAAAAGTGTCACTGTCAACACCAACCATCTGGACCATTTTGGATTATGGAATATTTGGATTTTGGAATTTCGGATAATGGATGTTTGACTTGTATTTACAAAAATATATTACTTACTTACTTAGGCGATCCTTCATTGTCCGAGTAAGATTGTCCTCCAAGTGTGGTGTCCTGGTGGTGACTGTGGAGCTCTATTTTTGACCCGTATGTTCTTCCGCAGTGAGGGTATCGTTTCCAGGTGGAAGGCAGTCCTAGTTAGGGTTGGCTTAACGCGCCTTCCTCTTGGCACGTTTCTCTCTTTCGCCCGCCATTCATGCCTCTTCAAATTCTGCAACACTGCTGGTCACAGCTGACCTCCAGTTAGAGCGCTCAAAAGGGCTTCCCAGTTCTTGGTGTCTATGCCACAGTAAAAAGCCAACCTTAAAAAAGGTTGGCTTTGAGTCCATCTTTAAATCTCTTTTCCTGTCCTCCAATATTCCGTTTTCCGTTCTTGAGTTCAGGGTAGAGTAACTGCTTTGGGGGATGGTGATTGGGCATTCAGACAATGTGGCCGTCCAGCAGAGTTGATGTCAGAGGACCATCGTTTCAATACTGGCGGTCTTTGCTTCTTCCAGCATGCTGACATTGGTCCGCCTGTCTTGCCAAGAGATTTGCAGAATTTTTCGGAGGCAACGTTGATAGATGTCAGGATTTATTGAGTTATGTATGTGTTTTAAATGTGCTTCTTTGTATTGCAAATATGGATGCCACTAAGAATGCAAAATGTTGTGCTGAAATGTTTAGAGTTGAGGCTGTGATTATGTGAACTTGAGATAAGTTGTGTTCTGATGAGAACTTCAAGGGAGTTGCCAGGTTGAAGCTAGAGAAAGATAAACAACTGCAAGGAGTGTTTTGGCTTTCGGTTTTACTGTCTCTTCCTGTATGTCGCTCGCTGAAGATGGATGTATTAGCTGTGTGCTTAGTAAACTTGAGTTTTCTTTTGTAACTTAAGCTTCCAGAGTCCTTATTTTGCAAAGCAGTGTCTGTCAGATCTAGCATTCCTTCCGTCAAGTTGCGCCTAAGCTTTACAATAGAATCGTTCCAGGAGTGACATCTGTAGATAGTCCATGTTTCGCAGGCATATAGCAGGGTTGGGAGGACAATAGCTTTATAGACAAGCACCTTGGTATCCCTATGGATGTTCCAGTCCTCAAACACTCTGTGCTTCATTTGGAAAAATGCTGCACTCACAGAGCTAAGAAGTGTTGTATTTCAGTGTCAATGTTGACTTTTGTGGAGATGTTGACTTTTCTGCTACCTTGGCTGCCAAGGTAGCAGAAATTTTAATTTTTTTATTGTTACACCATTAAGCTGTATTTCTGGTACTGCAGACAGATTGGCTGGTGCCTGCTGGAAGAGCACTTTGGTTTTCTCGATGTTCAATGACAGGCCGAGCTTCTCATATGCTTCTGTGAAGGTGTTTAGAGTGGCTTGTAGGTTTTCTTCTGAATGCGCACAGATGTCATTGTCATCAGCATATTGGAGTTCTATCACAGATGTTGTTGTAACTTTGGTTTTGGCTTTTAGTGTGCTGAGGTTAAATAGCTTGTCATCTGTCCAATAGATGATTTCCACTCCGGTGGGAAGCTTCCCATCAACAAGATGAAGTATCATAGCAATTAAGATGGAAAATAAGATTGGGGCAATAACACATCCCTGTTTGACACCTGGTTCCTCTTTGGGAGCCACTGCTGTCCAAGACTGTTGCCATCATGATATCATGGAGGAGTCGCAGGATGCTCACAATTTTTTGGAGGATGGTCCAGAGAGCACTGCGATTCACTGTGTTGAATGTCTTTGCAAGGTCAATGAATGCCATGTACAGAGGTTGATTTTGTTCCCTGCATTTTTTTGAAGCTGTTGTGCAGTGAATATCATGTCCACTGTTCCTCTGGAGGACCTGGGATTCTGGGAGGGTGTCTTCCGAGAGCGGTAGAAGGCAGTTTGCAAGGATTCTTGTGAGGATTTTCCCAGTGGAGGTTAGAAAAGAGATACCTCAATAGTTTCCGCATTCTGTTCTTTCCCCTTTTTTGAAAAGGGTTATGATGGTACCACCTTGAAATCTGCTGGTATTTTCTCAGTCACCCACACTTTTTCAATGAGCTGGTGGAGTTGTTATGTCAGCTCAGGTCCTCCCTCTTTAAAGATTTCTGCAGGTCCGTTGGCTTTGTCACTTTTTTGTTGGCTGATGGCATTGCAGACGTCTTCCAAACTAGGCAGTGCTACAAGCTCATCCCTGGTTTGTTGTTGTAGGATTTGTAAGAGAACCTCTTCGGCCACATTGGAGCTCCGATTCAGGAGGCTTTGGTACTGTTATTTTTTTGTCCTTCAGAAGTTTGGTTCCATCCGATGAGCGTAGAGGGTGTATGCCATGGTTTCTTGGTTCATACATGAACTTTGCGGCTTTGAAAAATCCCTGATCATCATGGGCATCTGTCTGGTGTTGGATTTCTTCCGCCTTCTTTATCCACTAGATGTTCTTGAGTTCTCTTGTCTTTTGGACCTCAGCTTTTGCACTGGCATAGATCTTTTTCTTCGCAGCACAGTTGATATCTGTTTGCCATGTTTGGAAGGCTTTTCTTTTCTTGTCAATTAGCTGTTGGATCTCATTGTCAATTTCGTCAAACCAATCTTGATGTTTCTTGGTTTGATATCCAATAGTTTCTTCGCAGGCTGTGATGATGGAGGTGTTCAATTTGTTCCAATGTTCCTCAACATATGAAAAATATGTTAAGGCAACATAAACTGGTTGAGACAGACATATTCTAGTGACACAATCTCTTCTTTTGAAGAAAGCTGTGTGCATACATGGGGCATGACGTTAAGTGACAGATTTTACTTCGCAAAATTTACTATTTGCCATAGCCTTCATCTTCAAGAGAAAATATTACAAGGAATTATTTTCTAGAAAACATAGAGTCAAAACGGAACCCATAGACTCCTAGTTAGGAGGAAATAATGCTTTCCCATGTCTGCTTTCAAATTGGATTTACCACTGGGCTACAGTGCCACTGAAGCCTTTGCAGGAAAAAAACCCCAGTAAAAATCCAGCAACAGAAATGGCTAACAATCCGTGAAATGCTTTATTTTCCTAAACCATCTTGTTATTAAAGAGACTGTCATATTGGCAATGTAAAATAAATAACACAATATGAATTATATTCCATTGAATCATCTGAAAGTTATTTTGACTTTCTTTACATCCAAACCTAGTGAGAAAATGAACTTTGCCAGGGCAGAGGAAAACCTTTCAATATACTTTAAAATAGGGTTTTTTCTAAACTGAGATGACCATGTTTTCCTATATAGATATTATTTGTATATTGGGAAACTATATATATTATGTAGTTTCCCATGACATAGTTCACAGTGAGAACAACTTGTTTGGATCATATTTTAAATTATTCTCTCTCTTTACATACACAAAAATACAAAGGTATATACTGTATATACACTTTTTATACACACATTTTTTTCAAATCGAGAAAAGTTACCCTATGAAACAGCCTTTGTTATTATCAAATTCTTCTGTTTATTACACTTTATTCTTCGTGTGAAAATACAAACTTAAACATTTTATTCCAGAACTGAATTATGAACAATATGTTGCTTGTATTGAAGTATGAAATACTGGCTGTTTCGTATTTTGCAACAATTAAGTATTAAAGAATCAGTTAACTTATACAGTTACCCGAGACATATATACTGTTTATCCACATGGGATTCCAACATAGTATACACAGCATTATAGCACGATGACTATTAGCATTACAAATATAAGAAAAGTGGCATACTGATTATTCAACCAGAAAACAAAAAAAATGCCTTATAATTCCTAGGCACAAAGGAACTCTCTAGCACTGAAAAGAGAACAAGGTTTATGCTTGTCAGCTTCATGGTCATCTATATCTGTCCTATATAATAATAATAATAATAATAATAATAATAATAATAATAATAACCGCATCTCCGTCTATGAACCCACGCGCTCCCTTCGTTCATCCGGAGAGGCCCTGCTCGTGATCCCGCCTATGTCGCAGGCACGTTTGGTGGGGATGAGGGACAGGGCCTTTTCTGTGGTTGCCCCCCGACTTTGGAACACCCTCCCCAAATACATCAGATTAGCACCCATGTTGGCAGTCTTTAGGAAGAGTTTGAAGACCTGGCTATTCCGATGTGCCTTTCCGGAATAGGAAAACCCGGCACTATGTCCCAGAAGCACTTTACTAGAGTTTAAGATCCTCTGCACATTACACTTGCCCAGAAATCCAACATACCACCTGTCACACCCAGCACTTTTTAATCTGTATCCATCACTTGGCCCGGCCCTGGTTTTTTACTGTGTTATGGTGTAATGTTTTGTTGTTATTGCTTTATGTTTTTGATTTGCTTTGAACTGTATTGTTGTTGTTATGCTGTTGTTGTGTTGAGGCCTTGGCCTATGTAAGCTGCATTGAGTCCTTCGGGAGATGTTAGCGGGGTACAAATAAAGTTTAATAATAATAATAATAATAATAATAATAATAATCTTTATTTTTATACCTTATCTCTCCCAGGGGACTCAGGCCAGTTTACACATTACGAAGGCAAATATTCAATGCCCGGCATATACCAAAACATTACAGCACTAACATAATACGGAATAATAACAACATT